AGCGGCCACCCCCTTCCCTAAGCCTAACCGACAGTGTTTTCAAAAGTAATCCAGAATAAGAAAAGCCCTCGCTGCAGCCTGAATCCTACCCCGTTTTCAGATTTTACCACATTCTCACCATGTTATTTACTTGTTTATTTCAATTTTTTGGCTTTTGATTTTGTCTTAATCTGCTTAACTAAACAGACGGCGTCATACCTCCTGTAGCGTTTGTTTTAAAGACAAAATGCAGCCATATGTACCTCTGGCTACATAATTCACGATCCCCAGAAATGTATAAAGTGCTACGTTTTTAGAATGAGCCTATGTTGGCTTTCTGTGTTCAAGGCGGCAGCTAGCTCTTTACAGCTTGCAGATGGTCACCCACAGAAGCTAAGCAGGGCTGCATCCAGTCAGTACTTTGATGGCAAACAACATGGGAAAGCTAGGTTGCTGCCAAAAGTGGTGTTAGTGAGACCAGCAGGGGGTGCTCAACCTGCAGTCTTTGTGGGTCCTAACGCCCCAGTATGGTGAAGAGGACTCTATACTGCTCAAAGAGCGGTGTCATCTAGACAAAATGGAGACACGCCACCCCCTCACTCTTGTCCACTTTATTTTTTTCCCGTAAAGGGGCCACTTGAATACCATGAGGGTCCGTCGTTTGCCTAGAGCTCCAGTTCAGCTAACTCCGCTATTGATTGTAATGGTTTGTTTGGGTAAATTTTCAATATTCACAATCAGCGCAGAGTCCTGGGATAAGACAAAAAATACTAATTTCTGGATCTCATTACGTCTGGGTGCTGCGATCCAGCTGTTGTGCTGGTGTATTCTGGGAAATTTTCTTACCCCTTGGTTTCGAGTATGTGTTCATCCCTTCCCCTAAGCCCTAAGCCTTCAAGCTAAAGTGAATTGGGACACCCCTACCCCTTCACTTGAACGCGCAAAATGAGGGGTAGGGTTAAGGGGAAGGGCTAAGGGGTAGAATTGGGATTGGGCCTTGTACTGATATATGATATGATACGTCTAAATGTGTTCACACTGGCAGGTTTAATTTGACTTGTGAGATAAATGTGAATGCTGCCATCCAAACCCTGGTGTACACCAAACTTGTGCACCAAGACAATTGAAAATTAGGATCTTGGTCCATTTCCAAAATAACTCTGGCATATTTTGATTAAAATATAAACACAAAATAGATCAAAGACATGTTTACTAAACTCAAAAACAGCCTCAAAAGATAGGAGGCTGTCAAACAGATGATTTGAAGAAGCAGAAAGAGAATTTGTATGTCAAACAAAATGAGCTGAGGAAGAACATGGCACAACGTCAGAACTTTGTTTCTGCATACAATAGAGGAATTCCTGGAACTGTTTCTGACCCCTTTAAACATTTTATGAGTGCTCTGGGAATGCGCAGCTGGTAAAAATAAAAGCATATCAGTGCACTAAGTTTGGCCTACAGCATTGTTTAGGTAAGTCAGTAAGTTCAACTACAAAATATACATCATTTTCTTAAGTTTTTAGCTTTAGTATCTTTAGTTTTGATGTTAAAAATGGCATTGTGACTGCTCAGCAAACCACCACTAAATGTATTACTTTTGGTCTAGATGCAATTGAATAAGATTTGAACTACATGTCTGAACACATAAAAATATGTACACTCAAAAAAAAATTACATTTGCTGTTTGTTCAAACTACTTACAGTAGAAGTATTTAACACGTCATCATTTTTCTCAGAAAACAAATTTCTAAAGGTGCTTTTGACTTGAAATATTCACTGGATGTTGGTGACAATCAAAGAAATCCATAAATGCTAAGAAAACTTAACTAATTAGTTTAGAAATTAAGTTATGTGTATAAAATGAAATGACGCAGGGAAAAAGTAGTGAACACATGAAGAAAGGGAGGTGTAAAAAGGCAGTGAAAGCCCAGACAGCAGCTAAAATCTCTCAGTAGTTCTTTAGCAACCTTCTGCCCTTCCTCATCGTAAATGAATATCAGCTGCTTCAGTCTAACATCTACATTAGCAGGATGATGAAGATGACACCAGGGTGGAGATTACAGCAAGACAACAATCCAAAACACAGCCAAGGAAACTCTCAAATGCTTTCAGAGAAAGAAAACCAAGCTGTAGAATGAATCATATGGCTTGATTGCAATATAAAATCCAAATAAAGATCAGATTTGATAGACGAGACTTCATTTATGTAACTTAATTTTCCATATGAGAGGCGTCTTAAAACTGCCATCACCAAAAAAGCCTTCTATATAAAATGTTAAATACATTTCAGTAGTTCAGTACTTTCTTCATTCCTTCATTCATTCATTCATTTTCTTGTCGGCTTAGTCCCTTTATTAATCTGGGGTTACCACAGCGGAATGAACCGACAACTTATCCAGCAAGTTTTTACGCAGAGGATATCCTTCCAGCCGCAACCCATCTCTGGGAAACATCCACACACACACACTCATACACAACGGACAATTTAGCCTAACCAATTCACTCTTCACTGCATGTCTTTGGACTGTGGGGGAAACCTGAGCAGCCGGAGGAAACCCACGCGAAGGCAGGGAGAACATACACACTCCACACAGAAACGCCAACTGAGCCAAGGATCGAACCAGCGACCTTCTTGCTGTGAGGCGACAGCACTACCTACTGCGTCACTGCATCGCCGTACTTTCTTTAGTTTAACATAAATGTTTTATGTTCAATCCACTTAAATTTGTGAAAGCCCATAAGTTAACTTACTGTAATTCCTTCAAGTTGTCCCAACACAAATCGATTGTGTGGAACCCAGCATTTTTACAGTATTTCAGTATTTCTCCCCAAAATGCTGTCATCAATTACTCCCTATACTCAAAAATATATGTATTTTCTGAACAAAAAAACTACATACACAACAACGATTCATGATTCACTTTGTAAAGAAGCACAACTCATGGGCACATAACTTCCTGTAGTCCTCCATTGTTGTTTTTAATAGTGATGACAGTCTTTTAATACACTTAATATGATTGTGGATAACATTACAGTTTTTACAAAGTGTGTTTTTTGTAGTTTATACAGGGGGGTAAAGGTACTGTTTTCATAAATGTTCATCTTTTTTATGTCCAGGCACACATAGTGAAGTTTGTTTATGAGCTATTTTGAGAGGATCATGTGCTTATGATTTATCACGGCCGGTCTCGTATTAGCTAATCATTATCTTCCAATCATATGAGCCCTAAGCTACTATAAATAACCCCAGTTTTCAGTCCACATTATCTTCGTTTGGAAGAAACCCTCCTTCCTCCCCAATTCTCCTCCTTTACCATTGATCGGGCGGCCCAGTGGTTAGCACTGAGAGCCCCACAGCAAGAACACTGCTGGTCCTGGTTCCGCCAGGCCGGTAGGCGTTTCTGTGAGGAGTTTGTATATTCTCCCCATGTCCGTTTTGGTTTTCCCCGGGTTCTCCGGTTTCCTCCCACCATCTAAAGATACACATCATGCATAACAATCAAGCACTTGTCTAACCCCTTTTCTCACGTGTTCCCTTAGCTACCGCAGCTGGGGAGTTCTGAGATCCACCGAGCTCAGGCTCCCCTCTAGCTCTGCAAATGGGAGGAAGCCCCGGGCTCGAGGATCCCTTGAGCTCGGGGTTCTCTCCCAGGACAGCATGCCAAACAAGCTTGTGATAGATCATCAGCTAAGTGTGAACTCTTGAAATGAAATTAGTTATGTTTCCATGCGCCATTTGTATGCTAATTTTGGAATATCGCCTAAAATTCTTAATGGAAATGGCAAGATGGGCATAAATGTTGAAAACGCAGATAAAAAAAAACTAGGATAAATTTTTAATCTGTTAAGAAAGAAGGCACATAAACACATTTTTTTCCCCACAGTCCAAAGTCATGCAGGTATAGGTGAATTGGATGAACTAAATTGGCCATAGTGTGTTGGTGTGTGTGTTTGAGTGTATGGGTATTTCTCAGTACTGGGTTGTGGCTGTAAGGGCATTCACTGTGTAAAACATATGCCAGAATAATTGGCGGTTCATTCCACTGTGGCGACCGCCTGATAAATAAAGGACTAAGATGAAAGAAAATGAATGAGTTCCAACAAGTGCATCAAAAATTCATGTGATTTTGTTTTAACAGATGATGTAATACAAAAATGGGTACAATGGAATAGCATTGGTGGACAAACCAGCGCATCGACCGCATTGTAAAACATCTGAAATGTTGTTTTTGTCATTCTAAAATTCCTCAGCCAAAGTCTGTCATCAAAGTGGATCAGTTGTATTACCTCCAGAGCTGTCTTGTGCGGCTTGCACCTCTAAAATTCACAGTTTATCGTGTTTTGTCTACTGAGGTAAGTTAATATATAAGAAAAAAGCCCTCAGTGGCTTTCCCTTTAGCAGTAAATTTCCATTTTCTTTTTGATTTTTGTCATTAGTTTATCAGAAAGTAATGATTTTGTTCTCTTTGACTTTTTGGATGGAAACGGTGCTTCATTCCAACTGTTTTATTATATTTTAGTCTAATTCACATCTTTTGATGAACTTTTTTTTTTTTAAATGGTCCAAACAAGCTCTTTGAAGCTGGGATGTTTTGTCCATTCAACTGAAGTCATTAGAAACTAAATTTCTTTGGTTGTCATAACTCTTCATAATATTTTGTTTAATAAATAAAAACAGCTAGATCTGGAACAGCATGATGGTGAAATGATGACAGACTTTTCTTTTTTTTTGGGATGAACCATGTCTTTAATAGCCGAGGGGTGACTGTGGGACATAAAACAACAGCTGAGGTTTCAGTTAAATTGGCATGAAGAAAAAGTGAGATTATGACTTCATTAGTCACAAACTGCCCGGCGACTTCCTGTTGGCTACAAAACCATTACTGACCAGATGGTTTGAAATTCTTCCTTCAAGGCTAAAATTTGATTTTGTGTTTATATGCGCTGACTTTTTGTGTGACACAGAAACTTCCTGTCTAAATATAAGAGGTAATTGTATGCGTGTCAAAAAAAGATCTTACCGGCTCCACAAACTCAAATTTCTTCTTCTCTTGAACGTCCTGGATTTTGAAGACGTATTCTAGCGATGCGTCATAAAAGAGCTGCCTTTCCCTATCAATCTGAGCGTCAGCCTGCAAATGAACAAAGACTGTTGTTACCCTAGAGACAGACACAGAAAGCCATCGCTGCCAGGCTCCAACACTCATTTGGACATGTTTGGGCTTTGGTTAATGGTTACATGTGAGAATTTCTGGCTCAGAGAATTTGTGTAACGACGCACTAAACAAATGCGCGGGAACATCTCTGAACAGGAAAAAAAAAGGAAGTGAAGCTTTTAACAGGATTAGTGATCTAAATTTTCCCCCCTTATTTACTCATATGTTGTGACTTTCTTCTGTGAAATGCGAAATTCAAGCTTTCAAGTTTTAAAAAGAAAACCAAGGGCTATGAAAGTGGTGCTGTGCTATTGTTTAGTTCACTTATTGTAATTGCATGGAGAAAAGCACATTATTTAAAGTTCCTTTTATGTTTCACAAAAAAAGAAGAAGTAATTCCCTTTAAATAAATCATATACTATGCAAATGACAGAAATTCTAAATGTAAATAAGCTGTTGTCATACATATCTTGATATAAGTTCAGTATTGTTGTTGCAGATGAATTATAACACGAAAATGTTAATTAAATATTGTCCAGTTTGCTAGATAATAAATATTAATCATTCAAAGCACTTTAACGAAGCCTCTCTACTTGACGGTTAGTCTGAAATGTCCACCATGCTAGTAGTTTATTTTCACTTATTACCTGAGTTTTTATTTCTAATCAAATTCACGTCCAACGGGCAATGTGTTGTAGGCAATATTAAACAGTTAGAGTATGGACGGTTCCACACATCGAGTTTTTACCGGAAATAGTGGACCATCAGGGAACCTTTGGCATACTCTTTTCAACATACTACAGTTTGGGACATACTAATTCTATTTTTGAATACTATTTAGTATGGATAATATGCAAATTGAGACACAGCAAATGATATCTGTTTTGCCTTAATAGTCATTCACACTTATATACCGAAGCCTCTCTACTTGACGGCTGGTCTTGCATGCTCACCATGTTTGTAGTTTATTTAAACTTTTTACCTGAGTTTATAGTTATATTCGAATACATGTCCCACACGCAATGTATTATTGGCAGTTAGAGTATGGATGTTTCTATACTTTAATTTTTACCGGAAATAGAAGACCATCCGGGAACCATTGACATACTAACATTCCATAGTTTGAGAAATACTAATTCTATTTTCAAATACTATTTAGGATGGACAATATGCAAATTGGGACACAGCGAATGATACCTGCTTTGCTTAAATAGTTATCAAACAACTTGAGTGACTTAGTGCATAGGGCACTGGAAATTAAGGTGCCCAGCGACGGGTTGCTGGGGGGAGGGGCACAGATCATCATACTATAACAACCCCCCCTCCAACCTGCATCCCAATAATCACTAAGGAGATTGCGGAAGTCACTTTCATTATCACCCACAGCCCCTTTAGAAATCTCTAACATCACTCTCCAACAAACCCCTCCCAAGCCCGGAGATTGCTAACGTCACAATCAACCCTGAGCTTACTGGAATCTGCCATGGAGGCATTTTATGGGAACATTTGGGAAATGCAAAATCTAGCCTTATTTTGTGCAATGATTCACCTCTTGAAGAGCCGATTCTTTTTTTCTGGATGACAGGTTGAGATGTTTGTCCAGTGTGGAATAATACTTTTCCGCCTCCTTGTCAAATTTCTTCTTCCCCTCCTACAAAAAAAGACAAGTGGTATTACTAGCATCATATTGGTATTCATACTGTAAATAAGTCTAGTATGTACATCTACTGTCAAAATATAAGAAACATAATAAGAGATGGTTCACTGATTTTGAACTCAGTGAATGAATTTAGATCATACAGTAAAATTAAAACGTAAAGGGCACCTATTTTACATGTCTGTAAAGTTTAACCTGTCTGTACAGTTTCAGCTGAAAATCCCCATCAGATTATTTATTATAGCCTCCAGGATCTGCTCATTTTGGTGTCTGAGTACAGTGTAGCTGTTTTTGTAGCCTGTGGCTTTAAATGCAAATAAGCTGCTTCTCCCCACCCACCGTTCCCAGGTGCATGTCTGCTTCCCCTGCCTTACATCAGATAAACAGCAGTCAGTGATAGAGACAGACACGGATGAAGCTGAAATACAGCTCATTAGTCAAAAATACCAAGTAATTTTATTGTATGTATTTGTGGTGGAGATTATTCAAGCCTAGACATGAAAAAATAACTGGTTTTGAGGCATAGTGCAGTTTGGAAATGTCAAGGTTTTAAAACTAAACGCTAAAATGTTATACTGTTCCTAATGTATATGTAAAGTTCTTTTTTATATATTTTTTGTGTGTTGTAAAGAAAGGAACAAAGCAGAAGTAAATTATTTATTTAAACCATTTAGCCTGACATTTACTGTATATATATATATATATATATATATATATATATATATATATATATATATATATATATATATACATATATATATATATATATATATATATATTACTGTATTGCTTTACAAAAACATTTACAAATAACCTATTTTAGAGCAGTAATTACAATACCGTGATACAGTGGTACAGTCAGAAACGTATACCGGCTCATGCCTATTCAAGGCTTTCTGAAAAGATGAGTCT